GCTCTGACTTCATCGTTTGACATGAAGGCCGGGACACGACTTATTCCAGGCTCTGCAAGGGTTGCGGTAACTACACTCATCAAGGGTTCGCTGAGATGTGGCATTTCCCAGGAAGCCTTAGGTCACAAGAACGGAGCCAAAAAGAGAGAGGCCCCATGAGAGAGGACAGAGGAGACGAACGCCGGAAAATAAAGAGGGGGGATTCACACGGAGATGGGCCAGCGCCTGCTGCCATCCCTTCAAGGCCCAGGCAGAGCCCTGGCCTAAGGCACCCCCTCAGTTACTCTTCCGAGTTCTCAGGGACCTGAGGATGTCGGCACGACGCTGGCTCAGCAGAGGGAGGAATCCGGAGTCTGAGAGACTGCATAGCGAGGACTGTGCTCAGAGAACCGCAACCGCCTCCATTTTGAAACTGAACTGGATGTGGGAGGTGGGTGCGCAAAGCCCCTCCCCTGCGGTTGACCCTGAGGCCTCAGGAGGCGTAAGCCGGAAGTTCCGCCCCTGACTTCCGCCTTCAGACTCCGAGGGCTCCGAGGCCTTCGAGGCCTCCGATTTGAGACGCGGCAGGTTCAACACAGCTGAGGGAAGAGCCCCAGTGGTGCCCGGTGTCAGGTGAGACTTAAAATGAGGACTAAGGGCAGCAGCCAGTACAGACAGGAGGGAGCCCACTAGATAGGAGCCCCAACCCGTCTCTGGGAGGACCCTAACGGGGCTGTGAGATCGCGTACCCCGCAGTTCCTCCTTGGCGAGCTGGCTGACGGCCATTGTGTGGGCGCGGAGGTGGGGTGGGGAGGAGGAAGGAGAGAGGTGAAATGATGTGGGCATTGGGTGTAGGGGTGAGGCGGGCGTGGGTATTGGGGTGGGTGAATGGTCTTGGACCACCAGTCATCACGAAAAGGCCCTTGAGTGAGGACGTAGGGTTCGGGGACGACCCTCCCCACATAATGGCGGCCTCCCTGAGGCTGGGTCCCTCCCTCAGCCTAGGGAGGCCCCTAGCAGGGGTGGCTGGCAGTTTCGCTGACTGATTTCGGTCTCCGGGGTCTGAGGGATGTGAGGCCTGGGCTGAGGTAGGCGATGTCCTGTCAGCAAAGGAGGGAGTCTCGGGCCCTGCGGGAGGTCCGAGGAGAACCGCGGGACATTCTTAGGGTTCCACCAACCCCCACCCAGGGCGGAGGGGGTGACTCGCTGTCTAGTCCCTTCTGTCAGCCCTGGTAGTCCTGTGTGTGAGGTGTCTCCTCACTTCTATTTTGGGTTCTCAGAGAGACGGGACCTCAGTAGGAAGGTGGCCTCTGACGTAATAGAGGGCAGCGGGCACATGACCGTCGTGTATCAACTTGAGTGCATGCGAGGACTGTGGGACTAACCAACCCATGGCACAGGGGTCCCCACAGAGCCCTTTCCCTGCTGTTAGCCCTGAGTGCCCAGGGAAGGAATGGCAGCCAGAGGCCACCCCTCCCTTGCTACTCTGGGTCTCGGAAGGTGAAGAATTTGTGCTGAATAGGTTATTCAGCAGGAGGAGCCCTATGCCCTGGCAGGTGTCATTGAGTTGTGTCTGAAGGGCTAACTCACCACCTACAAGGATGGTCCCACAGGTCTCAGGGAACCCTTGGGAGATCCTGAGCCTTGATAGTGAGATGAGACAACCAATCACTCTTCCATGGTGTTCACTGGGAAGTGAGGCCTTATTGTGATGGGCAGACTCAGGAACAAAGAAGTCCCAGGCCATGCCAGGCTTCCAGGTAAAGACCCCATGACAAGACCATCTCATGTCTTTTTTCTCAGCGTCTCAATGAGAATTAGCCTTTTCTGGAAGGGGTGGCTTTAGGTATCAGAAGCTGGGCACTGAGGTCTGACCAGTAGCCAAAGCAAAGACCTTGAATGAGAGCTGAGAAAATCACCTATCCCAAAAGTCAGGAGCCAAAATAACTCTGCTGAGCCCTGCTGTTGTCCCTGGGAGGCTCTGGGCAGAGCTGCGAGGCTGAGATATCACCTTATATCCTGCACCTTGAACTATGGGTAAAGATGATTTTTCTGTGGAAGTGGTGTCTGATCTCAGTATTTATAATTAGTCATGGGAAGGACCCTAAGTGAGGCTGATGGGGACACCCTCTCTAGAACAGAATGTTCTCAACAGAGCCCTGCCCTACTGTCACACTTGGGAAACTGTGGATGTGACACCCCCTTAATTGATCCTCAGTGGTCACAGGGACAGAAATGTTTAGCGTGAGAGTGACATCAGGTTAGCAGAGGGGAGGAGTGTCATAGACTGTCAAGTTTCATGGTACAGACCTTGTTTGAACTAACAGCTGACCATTACTTGAATGAAGATGGGACCCCATGGTACCTACTTGCCTACTTAGTCATCCCTGGGATGTTTCAGACAAGGATGGCTAGTAGTAGTTTTCTTTTTCTTTCTTTGAAGTTTGCAATTTTAATTAAGTTGTACTTGTTTTCAGTATGGAAATTTCTTTTTGTATTTCCTGATTATAAAAAACAATACATGCTTGTAAGAAACAATTTTAACCGTGCAGCTATGAGTGATGTAGAAAGAGAACATTCTCCAAAATACCCCAACTCCAAAGACAGTCAGGATAGATATTTTGGTATATATCCTTCCAGAATTTTCTCTATGCATATACGTTGTTTTTAAATATAACACAAAAATGCCTCTTGCAACATTTTGATTAAGATATAATTGACATATGACATTATATTTTTTATTGTAGTGAAAACTTTGAAACAACCTAATTGTTCATCAGTAAGCAATTAGTAAATTAAACTATAAGGCACCTGTACAGTGGAATACCTTGCAGCTACTAAGAGGAAGAGATAGATCTATACCCCCGAGCAATGATAAATGCCCACAGTATATTGTTAAGTGAGGAAAGCAAGTTGTAGAACAGTAAAAAGCATTCGAAAGCTTAAGCATTTTCCTCACCATTTTACCTCACTTTTGGTTACTTATATTTGAGTGAATGTGCAACTGACAGATCAGCATGTGGGAGGTACAGGGTAGTCTTTCCCTGGGAAGTTTCCCTGCCATTCAGTGGACCTCTTCCTGTGGACAAGCTCTGTCTCACCAGCACTCTCCAGTGAAATTTTTGGCTACTGTTAGTCTGACCCTAGAGACCAGTTCCAGCAGAACCTCATCCTCTAGTGAGCTCTCGCTACAAACCAGCTCAGGCCTGAGCCCTCTGGCAGAGTTTTTAACCAACACCCAGCACGGAACCTGATTAACGTGCAAATTCTGTCCTATCTGGTAGAAGCTGAAATGACTTTCCTTACTCCTTCAGTGAAGGTTCATTTCAACATTCCTTTTGCAGGTTCATTTCAACATTCTTTATTCTGTATACATTTGTGCTGCATTACTTTTTTTTTTT